ATATGCTTATTATAGGTATTAGAAAATAAAGTATTGGCTAGTTAATTAATTCAAATAGTAATATATTAAGCGAACTGAAACTGTTTTAAAAATCCCAAAAAATCCTAAAAAATTATTTTTACAAGATTATTATTAAATTTATCTATTAAATTTTTAATAAAAAGTTAATATATTTATTTGTAATCTCAGAATTTAAAATTATAGGATTAATAATTGTACTGTAAAAATCAATTAAAGATCACTAACAGTGGTGATCATAAATTATGTAATAAAAAAAATTTATCAAAACGAAATATTTTTTGTAATTATGGAAATAATTAATTTTTTTTTATTATTTTAATTAATAATATTATAATTTTTAAAACTAAAATTTAAATATGAATTAATAAGTAAATTATTTTTTAAAGTATATAATTATTCTAATAATGCTGTTGCATTATTTATTTTCATTTTTAATACAATTCAAATAACAATTAATACATTCCAAATTAATATATTGAAATATTATTCTTTTTTAAAATATATTTTAAATTTGATATAATTACCACCTTGTATATCCTTCTTAAGTCTTAATAATATCATAAATCCTTTCTGGCATAAACTGAATTAGGTTAGTATAAGTTTTAACATTGAATTCTATTCAGACCTGCTGTATCTTATTCTATAAGTTCTTTTACTTAAAATTTATCTAGGAAGATGTTTTAGCCAATAGTTAACCTCATTCTATAAATGTTTAATGATGTTTAGATTTAGGGATTGGGGTGGCCAATCTAAGACCGTCATCTTGTTTCTCTTTAGTCACTATTTTGTTAAATTTGCCATGTGCTTTGGATCTCTATTATGTTAAAAAATAATATCTTTAATAGTAAAATTATGTGCTTTGATATGCTCATTAAATCGTCATAAAGAATTTGTTGATATAAGTTAGCATTTATAATGCCATCAATCTTATAATAATCACTAACATCATGAGATGTAAAACATTCCTATATCATAACTGACCTGCCTTCAAATTTTACTGTAGGTTTAATATAGTAATCTTTTATTGATTCTTCTAGTAATATTGCTTCTTATCAGAATTAAAAATCTTGAATTTTAATTTATCAGACCATATTACTTTTGACCATTTCTCAACAGTCCAATTTTCATATTTTTTTGCAAAATTATATCAAGAATTTTTATGTTTTTTACTAAAGTATGGCATTTTTCTTTTAATCTTTGCTACTAACCCATTATTTTGAAGTACACTATGAATAGTAAATGTTGAGAAGTCAAGATTTTCTTTTTCTTGTAGTCAGTTTTGTACTTTAACAGCTGATGAATACCTTCGAGAAGTAATAAGGTTAACAATCCTTCTTTGTGTTAGTTCATTTACAGTAGATAGACAAACAGTTCTTATTAAGTCTTCTAGAGAGTGGGTTTCAAGCCATCTTTTCTAATACGAGAAATTGTAGAAGATGCAATTTTTTGAGCCTTTGCTACTTCTCTAATTGTGTATACATTTTGTAATGAAAGGAGAATTTGTGCCCTTTCATTAGGAGTTGTGTGATACTTTTTTGCTGCTACTCATTTATTAAGTAGCTGTGACATATCACGGGACCAAACAATAAATAAAAAAAATACCTTTTTTATACAATTTTTATGTAGCACAATAATGATCATCTGATTCATGTCAAAAACAATCAAAAGTAATGCATCGCGTGATTTGTATTACTTGCATATTATTTTATAACCAGAAGTATTAATGGATATTAAAAATTTAACACTGAAAAATAATGGTATTTACAAATAAAAATTTATTAAAGAGGGCAGAATATCTTTAGAATTGAAAGAAATATTTAAATTTAAAGGATTTTATTTTTTTGTTGAATTATTTATGATCGCCACTGTACTTAAATTGATCATGCGTGTTTTTGAGGCGTCACCCTGATATGGTTATTTACAATGTTTAGGCGCACGAGCGATCTTCGTTCCACATAAAAAAAAAATTTTTTTTTTTTAATTTTTTCAAAAAATGACTTTTGAACATTTACAAAAAAATTCTAATGATTACGACAGATTACTTGAAACTGGTGAAGGATATGATGTTATTATCTTTGCCGGTCAAGATGAAAATGATGAAGAAATACGTGCACACTCGATTATTTTATGTACTGGTTCTCAATACTTTCACTCAGCATTTTCAAATGAGTGGGCTGAGAAAAAGGATGGAAAATTTATTTTTAAAAAGCCCAATATTTCCCGCTTATTATTTAAAATGGTTATACGATATATTTATTGTGGAAAGATTGATTTGACAGAATTGCAAGGACCTGATATTCTAAAACTTTTAGTGATATTAGACGAACTTAACATACAAACTTTAATCCCTTGTATTCAAGAGTATTTAATTAAAAATCATTCTGAATTTTTACACCAAGATCCTATTGTCATTCTTGAAACAGTCTATCAACATGAATCATTCTCCGAGCTTTGGAAATTTTGTCTTGAAAAGATTTGTCGCGAACCTGAATTATTATTTAATTCCGATAAATTAATTAGTTTAAAAGCACCTGTATTGGAATTAATTTTGAAACGAGATGATTTAAACTTGGATGAAATTGTTATATGGGATAGTCTAATTAGATGGAGCCTAGCACAAAACCCTACTATTTCACAAGACGTTACAAAATGGAGCAAAGAAGAATTCACTATGATGGAAAGGGTTCTTAATGGATTTATTTCATTAATAAGGTTTTACCATATTACACCCGAAAATTTTCTTGACAAGGTGTATCCTTTTAAAGAATTACTACCAAAGGATTTAGTCAAAAACATCTTGGCATTTCACATGACTCCAAACCGTGAGTTGAATGTTGACATATCGCCTCCTAGACAAAACTATGTTTCGGTTATAATCAAATTTCAACATTTTGCCTTATATGCCAATTGGATTGATAGGAAGGATGATTTAAGCTATGATTCTAAAAATATTCCTTATAACTTCAAATTGCTCTACCGTGCTAGTAGAGACGGAAAGGATTCAAAGATTTTTCATATTAAATGTGATGACAAGGAAGCTACTATCTTTGTCGCGAAAATTAAAGGTACAAACCAAATCGTTGGAGGTTATAATCCGGTATACTGGAATGGCCATGGTATTTATAAAACTACGTCAGATAGTTTTATATTTTACTTTACTGATTATAAAGATGTTAAATCTGGTAAAATAGGTAGAGTAATTGATGGTAAAGAGCAACATGCTATATGTTGTTGGTTAAATTATGGACCAAGTTTCGGCCGACATTGTGATATTTCGTCTCCGAATGTTGGAAAATGGTATACTAGTATTGAAACATATCCTGATCTTAATATTCCTAAATATTATGATATTGATGATTATGAAGTATTTCAAGTAATAAAAAGAGTTAGTTTTATATACCCTTATATGTATTGCTATTAATATTTATTGCATATGAAAATTTGTATTCATATCAAAATTTGCATAATAAGCCACGAAATTAAGTTAACGTGTTTAACCCGGTATATATAAATGTTGCCGTGATTTCGATGCAAGATAAATAGAAGAATTAAGTTACCATCATCATTTGTTAATAACCAATATCGCCACAAATTATGACAGAAAAAATTCATTTTTTTCTCGTGTAAAGTTATGCATGATTTACAATAAACAACATACATTAACTAGCGTGAAATATAGAGATCTGGTACATAATATATTCGAATTTGCGTGTATTCTTTAACTTTTTGTTTTGACCGTCGTATCGCATAGATAAATTCCTATATATTCTTCGTCATTTTCACATAATCTTTCGTAATCTAGGTTATGACAAATTGATAGAAATTAAATTTGTCTTTTTGTTTAAAATCTTTGTAAAATGAGCATCACTAAGCATTAATTTGAATACATACTTGTTATTCCATACGTAGTGAAGGATAACTAGGTTATTTACGGGTTATATATATATAAAAGTCACATGCGCTAACGCGCATGTGATTTTCATATTAACTTTGAATAACCTAAGTAATCCGTAACGAAGTATGGAATAACAGGCTTATCTCATTGTGTATGACGTATACACCGGTAGAATTTTTATTAATTAAATATATCTCTTTCTCAATTTCACTCCTTTTTTTCCCTTTTACAAAATTAAAATCTTTCTATAATAATGGATGGATTCTATTACTACAACTGAGGAAATTTTTCAGCTTTAACAACTTTCAAGAATAAAAAATACTTTAGAAATAAATTTTGTAATCACAGTATAAATTAGAGAAATTATAATTTACCAAAACAGGCTTAAAGCAACCAAAAATCTTCAAGAAAATTTAAAATATCATATGAAATATTTTAAAATGAGATAGACTCAATAAGAACAGACAGAATGCAGCTAAATGTATAATAATTAACATATTAACTCGCATAATAGACAAAGCCAAGGGGGACACCACTTGGCTAAAAAAAAAATATAAAAATAAGAATTTTAGGGGAATTTATATGACAAAGACGAGGGAAATCTAAAATGTGACGCATAGCGCATTCTTTTCTGTGTAAACGCCATTAAAAAGATAAATGTTGAATATTTTAAAAATGACAGGTTCGTCTATATATAACATGGATAAATTCGATATTTTATTTCTGAATTTTATTTCTAATTGGGAGGTTTGCTATTAAAATCGAGTTACGAACATAGTAAATCATATGATCCGTAACGTGATTTTAATAGCTTTCTTCCAAATCATATTTTTTATTAAACATCCTAAAAGTTCATCTGATTGGAAACAAAAGCGTTGTTAAATTTAGTGAGTTATGCGAGTAATCTTACCGAGTAGTTTGTCGAGTCTTTGGTGTATCTGAAGTTGCACTGTCACTAGATATAAAAATAATCTGGAAATTGAAAGCTCTTCGTGACCATAGATGAGTGGGGCTCCCTTCAGACCAGTGGAATAAAGAAACCTTGAAGGGAGTTTCTATGATGAAGGTCAACTGTAAGAATTGGTCATGCAATTTCCTTCGTATACATTGCAGAAACTTGTAAATTATTGGCGTATTTGTTTGCTCGCGAGAGAGTTTTATACTTTCTATGAACGTTCTTCCCTGTTCCTGATGTCTTCCACGCCTGGAAGTTTAAATGATAAATAGGATACATTGAACCAGTGCTCACTGTCACAACGACTGCGAACTTTCTTCTTAATTATTGACGATGATGCATGAACTCGCGTTTTACAGTTTTATCTATTTTTTATTGTAAATTTTTTTTTTTTTTTTTTGAAAGCGAGTAATTTAATCGCGTTAATCGAAATATTTATTTACATATTTATATTCCACTTTATAATTATTTCCAATATCCGAACACTATTTTATATTCAGAGCAGGAAAATTTAGATCCCAAACGAATATTTTCAATTATGCGAGATTTTTGAAATATCTTCCTTCAGTAATTAGGTTTACTATATTTTATACTACATGTTGGTCTTATGCCATTTATTGATTATTTTGACGCCCGCTTCAATAGCACATTTATTAGTTTAAACCTTCGCGATCACGGGTTGCACAATTTGTGATACGTGATCAAGTTGTCCAAATGGTCATACGATTTGCCATATTTTAAAAATATAACGCGTTCCAAAAGATTGAAGCTTCTTTTTCTCATGACAAACGACAAATCACATTGATAAGACTAAAAAATAAAAATAAAAATAATTGTTTATTATCGAACTTATTACAATCTAACGGATTACTATTACTATATCGGCATTAAAATATCTTTTCGAAGACATAAATTATAACAATGGATTTACAAGATAACGAGGTACCGAGGACTATGTAAGCTTTCTCGAAACTTATAGCAGCTGTTATGGTTATTTTATCCTGGAAAGCAAGGACAAGAAAGAATATTGTTGTTTTTTAATGAGGTATTAAAATGTGGTCATAGGCGCCTAAAAATGATGAGCAATTCACACCAAAAAATTTTCTTTAAGTTAATGGTAAAAATTAAACATGATTTTAAAATAAAATTTTTACTTTTCGATTCTTAGACTGAAGTTTGATACAATTTTTTATTATATATAATAAAGATTTCAAGTTGAAATGGCCATCAGTTATTTTTTCTTGTTTGGAGTGTGAATTTTTCTCACAATAAAAAAATGGCCCTCACAAAAATATAATGAAACATTCATTCAGATGAATTATATTCAAGCTTATTGTAACAGTAATTTGTCAAAAAATTACAGATCTCAAAATATAGTTACATACCGAGTGGAGTTGATAGTTTTGAAAAGCGTAATGCAATTAAAGAGGCAATTTCCTTTACTTATTCAAGAATAAAAATAAAGGAAATTGCAATTATTAAAAATATAATCCCGAAAGAGAAGGCGGTGAAACTTTAAAACTTTTACAATAATGCTGAAATTAATGAAATTGTAAACAAAAGGAGTACATTAAAATATAACTTCTAAATGATTATTTTTTAACTGAATATTTGAAAAGAAAGGAAAAAATTAATTTTATATATAAATGAATTTATTGAAGATTTTGAGGATGATTTAAATTTAATCAAAAACGGATCTATGGTAACTTTAAAATATTTAAGTTCAATTAAAAATTTACGATATACAACTGGAAGCGGGTCTCAATTGATATAGATATTTTGTCACGTTAGACGAATTTTTTATTCTTATAAATAATCAATTTAGATTTTGAGAGCAATTTATTTAATCCGAGTGAGTGCTTTATGAAATATCATATACCGATACTTCTCTATATTTACAAAACAAAATTCTATCTCCAGTAACCGAGCATACAGAAGTAATTCCTTAATTTTGTTATTCAAAAAAATTTTTTTTTAAGATTTTATTTTAGTAAATTGTGGTGCGCATTATAAATAATATGCTCAATGATATTTGAAATCAAATGACGTTGTTAATCTTAGTGCTATAATAATCAACAAGAATTTACGATATTTTCAAGAATTGCTTGTCATAACGAAAGGTTAGCATTTTTTTGCAGAAAGTTCTTTATTTTTTAGTGAATGAATTTATAATAATACATTTCCTTTATTTATTTGTTTAAATAATAGTTGATTTTTTTTTTATTCCATGTAGTAATTTATTTAACCTATACGAGATATTAAAATAAAATAACTCGTTTAAATAATTCTTTTAGATCTCCTTTGAAATATGAATTGTTTACAATATTTTGCAAAATTGCTCGATTCGCCAAATTATAATATTTAAATCAAAAAAATGCAATTTGAAAAAGGTGTCATTTTTAACTTTTCGTTATCAGTAATGAATTGATCATCTATTTTGCAATAAAAATTGAATTTTGCCCCTTCATTTGAAAATTTCATTTTCTGTACATTTGAGTAAGACCATTGTAAATGAGTAAATTTTCTATGAACAATTGAGAATATGACGTACTTCATAGACGATGCTGAGATTTCACTGACGGTTTTGATAAAAGTGACAATAGTTGATGAAGTGAGCATATTTGGTAATTTTCAACTGTTGTGTTTATTAACATTATTTTCTACTTAAATAAAGATTTCGACTCTTGCAAATAGAGCCATTGGTTGAAGAAACTTTGTTTTCTTCATCTTTAGGTAATTCGTAGTATTTAGTTGAGTATAGAGACATATGTGTGTCACCACGTAAAGTCATTCTACGCTAGGAGTTCATTTTGATTAAATGTTTGACAGACATTTTATAAGTCTAATTATTTTGATTTGAAATGGCCTTCTGAGATTTTAAATCAAAACATAGCGAACCACTATTGAATAAACATCTATTCATTATAAGAAATTTTTTATCCCATAATTAGTTGGGGAGTAGAAATCAGGATATTTACGTCACTTTCCTACAAAGTCAATTACCTTGAATTCGGACTTTAAGGTTGGGAAGAACATGTATTTTCTTGCTTGCTCCCGACTGATTCACGAGAACAATAAACTAAAGCTCATTTTCAATATTCACATTATAGCTATACTCTTTAATTTCAAATTATAAATCAATCGCTTCTTTATCCTCGAACCTTGATTACTTGTTGAAATTTTTCACGATTATTTCTTCACAATTTTGGATTAAATTCGCTACATTTGCAAATAGAATAAGGGACTAGGGAAATTAATCAAATGTGTGAAATATCGTCTTACACTTATAGTTCGAAGTGTCTACTAAATTATAAAAGAACGATAATCCAAAAGAGCTGTTAAATCGTGCCAATGCATTAAATTTAGTTCGCTTTTAGAAGAAGATTCCATATACATATTTAAGGTTTAAAAAAATATTAAATAAAAGAATCGAGACGAGAGCTAAATATAACAAAGTAATTTACAAAATTATCTGGTCCCAAGTTTTTAATAAATAGAAAACCAAATGAGTAGTTTCATGTGTCTATATTTGACAAAAATCATTTAAATTTATATTAAATTAAAAGCATTGTACTCTCGAATACTTTGGGTTCGAGTAAAACTATACCAAAAAAAAATAAAAAAAATTATTTTTTTTATTCTAAAATAAAGTAAATTTTTAGTTTTGAAGCAATATTTATTATTTCATTTTGCTAGAAATTATTTTCGTTATATCAAAAGTTCACCACAGGTCCAACAGCCAAATAAAAAATATAATAATGACTTAATTGAATTAAATTTTCAACAAAAAAAACTATACTAATTCATCACATGGAGAATTATCTCGAATTATTCAAAAATAAGAATGAGGATTACAAAGATATAGAAATTTAACAGAACTTTATTGCAATTATACCACAGTAACTATCCTACCAATTTTACTCAGTTCCTTAGCGAATTTAACTATACAATTACTAGCTTACCAAATTTGGCGTCGTTAACATCGTTGCAAACATAATATTTTTTTTGACAATTTTCAACTGGCAATGGTTAAATTAGTGATTGGGCTTGTCGAAAAAGAACACGAACCGGATATCCTGACAATTGGATGATCAGGATTTATTTAATAGAGTTTAATTAAATAACTAAATAGGTTAACTTGATCTTCCGCATCAGAAAACACTGTTAAATTCTTGACATCAATACCTAAATTATATTATATATTCATCTCCAATACCCATGATTCTTGAAAGGATAGGAACAATTATAAGTTATAGCCTGTAGATATTTTTAATATTTTAATGTTTGCTTCTCAAATTGGAATCCTAAAACTTGAGGTCGGCTAAATATGCCACATAAGTGAATTTTCAATTTTTGGTTCATTCTTTTTTATTTTGTTAAAGAATTGATTAAACATTTTTGATTATTTTATTATAACTACAAATTTTCAGGTGAATGGTATCGGCAATAATATGAAATATATCACGCGATAGCTTGTTTCAATTGCTCCGGTCGTGCCTATAGTGTGAAACCATTCTGTTTCATCTACTTTGCTGGTGATATATTTAAACGGTCAAAATAATTGAGTACACATCTTGAAATTCCACCCCAAGCATTACAGACATTCTCAACTAAATTTGACAGGTTTCTCTTCAAGGATCAAACCATCATGAAATGAGTCATTACATTTCTTTATTCATATGTTGTGATCTTTGCCGGTAGGTTTATCCTCACGTTTAAACTCTGGAAAATTTTCTATAAAAGTGTAATGCAGTCTTCATCATTGGTAACATATAAATTATAAACTTTGTTTTTGCTTATAAACTTATCAAAATTCACCTATAAAGCTACGCATAACTCTTTTAGCATTTTTTTAAGATATTACTACAATTAAATATAATTTCATTTAATCAATCAATTCGTACCAATGTCAATTAATTTAAATCTTTAAATTTTATTGACATTGGTACTGTCATGAGATATAGTTAAATCATAAGCATTGTAACGTGATTATAATAACAAACTTTCCATAGCCTTTCAGAAGACCTGATTGATCCGCCCCTTAATATTCCATGAGCTAAGTTTTTCAAATAAGTGAAGTTTTATAAGTAGAAACTTGATTTATATTAAATAAAATATGTCCTAGCTTTATATAAAAAAGAATATTATGTTATTTATAACCATATATAGTTTTATCACCCATTGAACCATGATCAAAATTCAACAAGTATTTGCCATTTAACTTTTCGTTATATTGTTGCAATTTTTTAATAATAAAGTTTTCGCAATATTTTAATTCTATCTTTAACTTTGTTATATACGGTATACTAAATAATGAGGGTTGTCGAACATCTTGTTAAGTTCTTATACTATTTATTCTTTCTATTATTTTTCCTTGTTCTTCTTATTCCTGATTCTCTTCTGATCAGCCTATTCAAATTCATCAATAGGCATCAAATTCAAATCATCCTCTATAATATAATAGAATTCGTAAAACCTTCCATTAATTTAGATCCCATATACATTATACTATTCTCCATATCATTCTAAAGAAGCAAGTTTTATTTTCATTCAGCATCCTCATGGCGAATCCATAATTATCAACATATAAAGACAAAGATTAGTGACGCCAAAGCTTTCAGCAAAGCGTTCTCTATGATCTGCATCAAAAAGCCACTCGTCTTTATTTTTAATGTATCAAAAAGGTGATGCGGCACGTTCGGAAATTTTGGCAAGGTAATATTTTCACACTGATAGCGTGAGAGTATTTTAGTTTTATTTGAGCTAGATGTGTCCATGGATTGGTTGACGAGAAATTTCCGTGTTTCCAATACTCTGTCTGTAACATCAGTTCCTGTTTCTGATAACGGAGAAGGTGTTGAGGTTACAAAAACATGTGGTGTAGGGTCGGATATTATGTTATGTATGGTATATTTCACGCCCCTGTGACTACGTTTCACGGATGACAAATAACACTTCAGCCTGCATCAAACCCGGCATTATATATTCGTTATATGAATGTATATTTCACCCCTATTACATTTTTCCATACATTACATACATTGCCAACCCTACACTACATGTTATCTATATGCTCGCTAAAAATGAGTCATTGGTGTTTTAACCGAAAATGTAGCATAAAATATATATATTGCATCACAAAATAAATCCGAAACTACCATTATTATTTTCGAATGTTATGAGGTAAAACTGAATTTACAAGCACTTTACTTTTTATGTAAATTTTTAATCCAAAATTGGGTCGATTAAGTACTTAGAATACATTTTTTTAGCCAGCCGTGAAAGTATATTTAAATTAAAAGTTCAATAAAAATACATCATTATGAAATTTCCAAAACTAAGTGATTAGGATTTAATTTTCATTACATACTACGTAGCGTAACATATTCAGAATTAAAAATTAAGATACTTTGTAAAAAAAATTTTTTTTTTTAAAAAATATCGTAATTATTTATTACAGCGTTGTCTAACCATATCTACGAAAAGACTCAAGGTTTGAAATTTGATGCATTAATTTGCATAGTGAAACGAAAATTTATGAAATAATTAAAAGAATACATTCGATTGCTGAAAAATTTAAAAATAAATAATTACTGCTATCAAATAAAAAATAATTTAAAATCAAAAAGAACTTATATCTCATTCAGCATTTATCCCAAATATGCTCTATTTTTTTAAAACAAATAAAAAAGAATCTCGCAATAAATAAATCACGTGTACCTAGAATCACTTTGTCCGAGGATTTTGGTGGTGATCCTGGGGAAGATTAGCTAAGTTCGGGCATTAAAGTTGGGGCAGATCGCTTGGGACACAACAGAAGTATTGATTGTCACGCAGCTTTCTTCGGTGGCGTTAATTATGTCATGTCTTACATAAAAAATTGTTCTTGAAACAAAGAAAATAAATAATAAAAATTTCCAATAGAATTCTAAAAAAAACCCAAAGAATTTCTTAAAAATTCCAAATTGCCAATTTAAGAATAATTCTAGAATTTTAACTTGGAATTTCACAAGGATATTCGATGTAACACTTCTCAAGAATTCCAATTTTAACCTGGTTTTCTTAGGTAAAAAAATTATAAAATGTTAAATAATTCAAATTAGCAAATTTCAAATTCTATTAATCTAACAAAATGGAACTAACAATTGCAAATAATGAAAGTTCTTTTGTCCCAACACCAAAATTAAAATCCAGTCCTGTACCAATTACGTTTATTCCTTCAACACACGAGTATGATTATTGTCATTGTGGGAATGAATACTCTAGAACACGTTTATTTAACCAAAAATATTGTAAAACTTGCTTATCCAAGTATATTTGTCATATTGATAAAAACAACATTTATTTGGATGTACAGTACTTATAGTTACAAAGAATGTACATTGTGATGAACATGAAGCTAGAAATGCAGATTTTTGCACACAAAACATTCATGAATGGTGTGAAAATTGCTTTGAAATTTTATATTTTAACCAAGTTTATTATGGAAGGACCATATATCTGGATATGTCGTATACGAGTAAGGAAATTGACATGTTAAAAAAAAATAAGCATTGTAAATTATGTGGAAAATCAGTTTATAGATCGTTTAATAATATAACGTTCTTGGTTTGTTATGGTTGTTATAAAAGCTCAATTGGATGGGTAGAATCAAATGATATGAAAAAACCTGTCCCAATTCTATATTTACCATGGTGGGATCAAACTATTTCTTGTATAAATTGTAGAAAAAAACTAAAAGTTGAAACTGATTGTCTCAAATGGTGTTCTTATTGCTCGATAACTTATAATGGATGTAGATATTGTTTAACAACATATATTATTTTTGGAAATACAAATAAATCTCAATGTATAAAATGTGAAAGGAAACCGACTTTAACTATTAATACATCACCTATAAGCGGTGAAACATCATTTATAAGCAGTGGAAACAATAATATAGATGAGTTTATTCTCAAATCACAATTTAACATTCAGTATATAAATAGTTCATATCCATTTATGCTATATACATTTTTTGAGAAAAATTCTATTTTTTCACAGCTTGCAATAAAATGGATCCCATATTCTCATATTACGAATTTAGAAAAAATAGCAGAAGGGGGATTTAGTATTATTTATAAAGCAAATTATTTAGATAAAATACCTAAAGTTAAATTTAATACTTCAGTTATCGAGTATAGAGAAAATGAAATTGTTGCTGTAAAAATGGTTTCAAATTCCAAAGATATTAGCAAGTATTTCTTTAACGAGGTAATTATTCCGAAATGTAATTTCATTTTAATAATTTCAAATAATCTAATCTAAAAGATGTTATTTTTTAGTTAAGTTCGTATCATCATTGTTGTTTTGATAGAAAAATTAATCGTATTATAAGATGTTATGGTATTACAAAAGATCCTAAAACAAATAACTATATGTTCGTAATTGATTATGCATCAGGTGGAGATTTACATAAATACTTACAAAAAGACTTTTACAAAGATAACATGGAATAATAAAAAATTAAAAATTTTATGGAATGTTATAAATGGGTATTTATATATATTTTAATATTTATAATTATAAGTATACATAATACTAATTTTACTTTGAAATTAGGCTCGAAACAATTCATGATAAGAGACTTGTACATCGAGACATTCATAGTGGAAATATATTATATGTTAAAGAGAATACTGAATCTTATCAATGGCAAATCGGAGATCTAGGATTATCACAACCTGCAAATAATACATTAAATAATGAAATATATGGAGTAATTCCTTATATTGCACCAGAAATATTTAAAGGCGCTTCATTTTCAAAACAATCCGATATTTATAGTGTAGGTATGATTATGTGGGAACTTACTACAGGTTGTAAACCATTTTATAATATCGAGCATGATCATAGACTTATTTACGAAATTATTGATGGAAAACGTCCTGAAATTACAAATGATACTCCTGAATGTTATGCTGATTTAATGAAAAATTGTTGGGATTCGAATCCTTCAAATCGACCATCTATAAATAAAATACGTAAAATTGTTGGTGGTTGGTGTCATAGGAAAAAAAAATAAAGAAATGTTTGATCAAGCTGAAATAAGACGAATGGAATTAATAGAATTAAATAAACTTGGACCTGAAATTACTGAAAAACATCCAAAAGCAATCTATACAAGTAGGACATTAAGTTCTTTAATTTCTATGTCCTTATCCTTAAATTCAATTAAATACTACACAAGGTGCGTATCATACATATCTTAAACCTGAATAAAAAGTAAATTTTAGAATCATTTATTTTTTATCTTTTCTTTAGAATATACGTCACAAGAATATAAGTTTGATATAGATACTCCAGGGTATTATATATTTTTGAAATATATATATTGTTTTCTTTAAAAAAAAAATTATTTTCACACAATAAGTATTAACAATCATCTTTTCAATTACATTTAGACAAACAATAAATGTAAATTCTACAATCCAATATACTTCGAATACTCAAATACTTCAAAAAAACGAAAGAATGAAGAAATAGAAGCTAAAACTCAAGTAAATAGTAAGTAATAATTTTTTATTAGTTTAAAATTATATTATTTAAAATTAATATCACCTTCCAATAAATATTTAGAAAAGCAAATTAAATCATCAAGTGATTTCAAAAATTCGTTTTTGAATTGATAATTCAATCTCAGAAAATTTTAATTCAGAATTTTATACTTTTTATTATATATTACGAAGTGTATTTTTAATCGTTTCGTTGTATTTATCCAAAATAAATTTAGTTAATATCAAACTTGTAATTCCTATAATTTCGTCAATTAAGCTTTTTTAAATGATTCTTTATAACGCCCTCGTGAAATTCTATTATTAATAAAATTTTCAATAGTACATTGCTATTAAAAATAGCAATAATTGATAACTAATAATCCGTTAAACTCATTTATTTAAATTCTTACTTTAGGATTATTTTATAATCAAGTATGAATTTTAATAATATTTTTTCTTCAAAGGTATAATGACAAATTTAAAATTCATCACAATCGAGTCACGTGATTTTTAATTTTATATAAAGATTCCTAACGAGACGAGCCGATAACAGTTAAAAACCAAATATATTTCAAATTACGTAAATTTTGTTTTCAAGTAACGTGTTTCTGAAGAATAATCGGTTAAATTGGTTCATTTTCAATATTACAATAAGTGACTATGCATATATATTTAAAAAAAAATTAAAATTTATATTTGCCGTTTGAACTGCACATTTGCTGTTTGAGAGATTTCTACCAAATTGTGACACACTTTCAAGTGAAATTCTTGCTCTTTCTGTTTGACAGCTTGCTTGAAATTTCTCGTAGACTCCAAATATCTTGTACTGTTTTCTCTTCAAACCTCTATACCTCTATAAATATTTATACAAGTTTATTCTCGAAATGAGATTTTCAAATTTGTTTGTAAATTATTAAAATCAAGTTAAGGATCAAATTATTTTTTTTTACTATTGGCAATTTGATTTGATATTGTAATAATTAATAAGGTACTGTGGTATCGCCTCGCCTTTTTTTTTTTCCAAATCAAAAAATTCATGGGCTGTTTTATTGCAATATTTATTACTTACTAACACGAGGTGGTTAATTAAGTAATAATAAATATGAAACAAAAAGATATTAATTAATGACATCATCATTTTTTTATTATAAAAGAAACAGCAAACTTTCTAAACATTTTTCTCTCGCACTCTCTAAAAGTGCTCAAATTACAAACTTCTTTCTATAATTACTAAATCTTTTCGAACGCGCTCTTCCACATTTTTAGTGGTTTTGACAAGATATTTGTTGTATTAGTAGTGGTTTTCCATTCTGGTTGTGAGCTCAAGAATATTTGCGAAATATTGCTTGACTTAAATGTTCGATATACCCGGGAAGTTCATGTCTATAGACAAGTATTATCCCAGCGCTATAGCATATTGGTAAGAAATTATCTTTGTGGTCGTTCCTTTAATACATTGACTTTTAAGGTCTGAATTCCAACCGCCCTAAGCACGAATTTCCTTAATACTAAGATTTTAATTCTAACAATTTTTTTTATCATTCTAATAGGGTATTTCAACGGCAGATAGTAGATCCTTAATGTTCATTTACAAGTATTTAGTTGGCGAATATATAACATTTGACAATGAAGCAGTCGAAGTATCGCTTGGAGAATACGTTTTAGAAAGCTTATTTTAGAAAACAGTTTTTCAAAGCCTGTAGAAACTTTTAGCAAAATGCCATATACGATTAAGAATATTCGAAATATGAGTTAACCACTAGTTAATATATTGCTAAAAATGACCAATATTGGGAATTTCTTGGATATACGGTAAAGTGAAAATTTCAAAAATAAAATATAAGGGTAAGTTCGTGGGTGCGTGGTTAATTTTCTATATTTAGTCCAATTCCGCAACTTAATTGATTTTTGCTTTGGAATTCTGTAATAAAGTTTTAGCTAATCTAGCGGATCCAAGAATAGGGATGCATTTAGATAAGGATTGTCTTGGATCTGTTTCATTATTTTCAGAAACTACAAGGGTGAGCTTTGTTATAGTAAAGCGGTACGATTTTATCTATGTTCTTTTAAATATCGTTATTAAATACGACTTTTTTTATCGTAGAAATTGTTAATAAGTACAATGATAAATCAAAAAGTCACACATCAACCAAGAACAATAGTTTCATTTTATGTTAAATTGATTAAATTGTCATTGTTTAACTAGAAAAAGTTTTAAATATAAGGATTGTCTCTTTTAAAAATCGCCACATCAAAAATTTTTGTTCATTGATGAAATTATAAACAAACAATGACGAGTTTGCTTTAGCATCTTGGCAATAATTTTAGCAAATTGAATAAATATACAAAAACAAGTGAAGTTGTAAATAAGTAAACTTTTTTACTAGTTAATATTTTTTGTAAATAAGATTTTTTTTATTCGTGAATATAAATTTAGTTCAGTATTTAGCATTTCTATTTTGTGACGGAAACATTTTTAAAAATTATATGAAAATTATTATATTCGCGGAATGTATAAAAATTGCATACTACTACTTAGACATATTTACGGGAAAAATTACAGTTTGACGAAGATTTCATGGCCTTGCGATCATGCCTTTCTTGACATATTGAGGAAAATTTTAAAATTGCTTAAAGAAGACCCAACATCAAAACTTGCAAAGTCACATATAACGAATGTATTCAATTCTTCGGCTGCTTTTCGACCATTTTTTCCTTTTACATCCACCAATTTGTATAATTGCACACTTGCTTGTAAACTGCAATTTATATCTTCGTATCGGAATATTGTATGTGTGGAGAAGGAAGAATACAAAAGCAAGTCCATTTGAGCTAGAAAATGTTTACTTTTATAGTTGACTCTTTAAATGAAACTAAATAATTTATATGATCCTTCTAATGGGAAAGCGCCCATTAAGTCACATCCTGTATAGATTGTGTTAGGATAAAACGTTTTTTATATAAAATCCCTAAGAGTGTGACTTTATGAGGGGTTAAGGAATAAGTGTAGATTACCCTCTTTATTCTACTATCATATATTAGATTAGTTCTAATATAAATCATTTAGTCTATTTAAATATTACTTTTAAAATAATTAAAAATATCTCAATAATTTATGTAAATTCCTAAAAGTCCAAAGATTTTTTAAACCATATATATAGTATTCAAAGTTATCCGGTTAATTATACGGATTTAAAGCATTTATAAAGTTTCTTCTTTTCCCTGATATTGATAATTAATACTACTGTTCCTTTGTTTACAAATAAAAATAATCTTTAAACATATCGAGTTTTTTTAAATTCAAAATTGTATAATAAGAGAAATTAAAATGCCACATGGTTCACAATTACGAAATATAATTACTTATTTTTAAATGTTCATCCTTTTGACAATAGGAGAAGTAAAGTCTTGAATTAGATAAAGAAATAACAATAGGGCAGTTTTATTATTAAATATTTCCATGTGGATTTGTTAAGCAAATGTGTGATTTTTAAAAATAGAAATATAGCGTTAAAAAGATTTGCGAATTTTTTTTTAGAATCTTTAATTTTATAAATTATTTTCACATACATTATGTAAAATCCCTTCAAAAGTTTCAGATTCACTAATATAATTGGCAGTTTTCAGTTGCTTTCCTAAATTGTTTGAAAATTTTTATCAAAAATTAATTTATATCAAAATAAATCTTTATAAAGCATACTCACTCTTAACTTGAGTTTTAACTTCTAATTCTTCTACATACGAATTTTGGTGAGCTAAAGAATTGTAAAAAATATATGAAGTTCAATATTCAATGCATTTATATATATTTTAATTATTGTCATAATTTAAATTAATTTCTTACAATACCTTGAATTCCCTTGGAATAACATTTTCTTTTGAAATATAATTTAAAAATAATAAAATAAAATAAATAAATGGAAAAGACTTCTTAATTTGATTCTTTTATTAAGGGATCTAAATAATTGAAAATTTATTTACCACTGTAGGTAATTGTCTAGTCGCATGAGTTGCATCTAGATGGTTTGTAATATCATAACTAACATATGAAAGATAAAAGTCAATTACCTATATACTGAATCTTGTTTGTTCATTTATTTACAGCCTCAAATCAAATAATTTACAATACCTATGGGTATCTATATCGAATTCAAGTTCTTTTGAAATATATTCTAGCATAAATACGGAAAAAATTTAATCTATAATAAATTTAAGTATACTTTATATAACACTTACATACCTTGATTACTTTTTAATGAATTTAAGGATAAGGACATAGAAATTAAAGAACTTAATTCCCTACTGTATAGATTGCTTTTGGATGATTTTAGTAAATTTAGGATCAAGCTTAATTAAGTTTATTAATTCCTCTCGTTTTTTTTTCGGCACGATTAAAAAGTTCATCATTATGTTTTCTATAAAACTAACTACCAACAGTTTTACTTATTTCTTTTCTAGATGGTCTTTTTGAAGGATTAGAATCCCAACATCTTTTCATTAATTTAGCATAACTTTCAGGAGTATCATTTGTAATTTCAGGACGTTTTCCATCAATAATTTCGTAAATAAGTCTATGATCATGTTCGATATTATAAAATGGTTTACAACCTGCAGTAAGTTCCCACATAATCATGCCTATACTATAAAGATCATATTCTTTTGAAAATGAAGCGCCATTAAATATTTCTGGTGCAATGTAAAGAATCACTCCATATATTTCATTATTTAATGGTGTATTATTGCAGGTTGTGACAATCCTAGATCTACAATTTGCCATTTATAAGTTTCAATAATATATTTCCACTATGAATGTCTCGGTGTATAAGTCCTTTATCGTGAATAGTTTCGATCCTAATTTCAAAGTAAAATTAGTATTATTTATACTAATAGAATAAATATTTTAAATATATTTAAATACCCATTTAAAACATTCCATAAAATTTTTAATTTTTTTTTGTTCCATGTTATCTTTGCAAAATTACTTTGTAAAAGTTTATGTAAATCTCCACCTGATGCATAATCCATCTCATAACACGATTAAAGTAACGATCAGAACAGCAAACGATGATGCAAACTTAACTAAAAATAACATAATTTAGATTATTAGAAATTATTAAATGAAATTACATTTGGAATAATTACCTCATTTAAGAAATATCTGCTAATATCTTTAGAATTTAAAATCATTTTTATAGCAACTAGCTCATTTTTTTTAAAGTTGATAGTTGAATTATTACCATGAACTTTAGGTATTTCATCTAAACAAATTGCTTTATAAATAATACCAAATCCCCCTTCTGCTATTTTTTCTAAATTCGTGATATGAGAATATGGGATCCATTTTATTACTGACCGTGAAAGTATAGGTTTTTCTGTGAAAAATTTATATACATTTAGTGGATTAGAATTTTATCTATATACTTGCTGTTAAATTTTTTGCCAATTTTGTTAATAAATGCATCTACAATAATGTTTCCACTGCCTGTAAATGAGGCATCATTGCTTGTAAGTGATGTTTCGATAGTAATAGACGTTATCGTTTTGCATTTTCTACATAAAGATTGATCTGTAATTCCAAAAATAATATTTGTTTTTAAATAATATCTACATCCTTTATAAGTTATCTGGCAATATTCACAGGTTTCGGAAACCATTTGTTAAGTCTGAAGCACAAGTGTAAAGAAAGGGACCAACCACGTATTGACTCAAAATTTGAGCGGGCGGACATCGGGACATCAAAACGCATAAAACATATATAGTCCTTCGCTAACGCTCCGGAATAATTAAATTATAAATATTTTTTTTTAAAAAAAAAAATAGAATAAATTAGATAGCTTGGTTATAGTGAACAAAGCTTTATTCGGCTTGCTAAAGAAATGAATATGCTATTATTTATATAAAAGCAGAATATATTAATGATGAATATGATGTAATTTTAGTAAAAAAAAAAAATAATAATAATAATAAATGAAATCAAGATATTTTACTTTAGTGTTAGATATATAATTAATAAAAAATTGATTAATTTATTCATTCAATTATAGTTACATGAAGTGGAATATCCACATTTATCCGTACAGGTACAAGTGTTCCGATAGAACGAGCTTTTCTGGCGGATCCAAGCAGTGTTGTCAAATGATATTGAAATGACATTGAAATGACATTAAATGACATCAAATGACATTGATTTTACTATGAGATATGACAAATGTCATTTAAAAAATAGGCAAATGACATTGCAATTTGCCAACACTGGATCCAAGTTTATCACAGCCAAAAGATATGGTCTTAAAGCAATATAATCCGTGCATGTATGTTATTGGAACTCCTGGTGGAATAAAATATAAAAAATTAGTCTAAATTAGGACGTTTAATGCTCAACCAAAGAAAATAAATAAACTTTGAAATATAATTTTAATGAAAAGAACTAGAGTTTGCGGTTTGCGGTGGACTTCGTCTCCCGTTTAGCATAAGTGTTTGATTGCGTAATAAGTTCAATTAAACTTTAAAATTCATTTATGATAAATAAAATATTAAACTAAACTTTTTTAAAATATTCAATTGAGTTGATAAAAAATAAGTCAAAGAAACTTTTTAATTGTTTAGTATCAATCTTTTAATTTTTGATATATATTAATTTTAATTTGATTAGAATCAGGCTAGGAGGGTTAAGTTTGGTTTATAATTGGGTTAGGTTGGGTTGGGATAAGTTCGATTAAGTGTTAGGTTAAGTTTGGGATATAGTTGGGATTATGTTCAGGTGTGATTTAGGATTTGGTTCGGGTTGAATTCGGGTTATATTTGGTTGGGTTCGGCTTATGTTCGGCTTGCGTTCGGGTTAAGATCAGGTCAGTGTTGGGTTATGTTCGGGTTAAATTTTGAATATTTCTTTGATTAAATTAATTTTTTAATTTAATTTTTCTTTCGGTTAGTTTTTTTTAAATTATTTTTATTAATTTTTATTTTAATTTGTATTTATTTTAATAATTATTTTTCTGACATAATAACGATTATTAGTTCTGACATAATATTTTAATTTTAACTCAAATTCTTCCGACCAATAAACCAGATGACTGCCACTATCTAGTTATTTTCTAAAAACTCCTTTTTATCCATTTTAATTAACTTTTCACATAGAATTTGCTTTATTTAGCTCGCTAACTGCTACTTTTTCTGCCTTTACTTCACCATTTACTTTTAAATCCATTTCAAAGAAAAATTTTTTAAGTATTTGAGCAAACTCTAAACTGCTACGGCGGCTGAGGCAATGGTAATATACACAAAGGTTTCTTTATTATCTTGACTTCTTTGTTGTTTAGTTCATTCGTAAGTTTCGCGGTCAAGGGGCTTACGGAACTGATTTTCTTCATTTTGGTTAAATATTTTAGGCATAATTTGGTTGGTTTAAAAGGGTTTGAATTTGTAAGTTGTTGGCTAATTTGAATTTTTAAGGCAATGATTTGGGCTTAGGTATGCTTTTGATTGGTGGTGAATTCATTAATTTTATTCATCAATATCCAGAAAGAGGGACATTATTCGTAGCTTTCAGGCTGGTTCAAGAAAGGCTAGCTGTGAAATTCTAGGCTTTTCTTAGTTTCGGTAGCTAATAGTTTAAAGGTTTGCACTTGCTGGTTTAGGTTCTTCTCTTAGGCTAGGAACTTTCGAACGGAACCGATCCGTTCGTCACCGCGGCGAAGGTAAGCCGACTCGAATTTTCTTTTTTCTTTTTTTTTAAAATAATTTTTTTTAAATTTTTTAGATTCGACCGGTTCCCCCACTTTGCCTTCGAATGGAACTGACCGGTTCGTCAACGCGGCGAAGGTAAGCCGTCGATTTTCTTTTTTTTATGTATATTAATAATTTTTTTTTTAATATTATTATTAATAATTTTTAATAATTTATTAAATTTTTCTTTACTTTTAGGTTCGATCGGTTCCCCCGCTTTGGCTAAGAACTGGACAGAACCTTCGAACGGAACTGACTGGTTCGTCACTGCGGTGAAAGGTAAGCTGACATTTTAATTAAATAATTTCTTTTTTTTTATTCTTATATATTTTTGGTTAATTCAGTGCCATTTACCATCTCTTAGGCTAAGAATCAGACGGAACCTTCGAACGAAACCAGCCAGTTCATCACCGCGGCTAAAGTGAGCTGACTAATTTTTTTTGATTTATTTTTTTTTTCTTTTCTTATTTCGGTAATTAATTTGATTAATAATTTTATTTATTTTATCTTATTTATTTGTTTTAGGCAGTTTTAGGTTTAATTTTTTATTTTTTCTTAGATCAGTTCATCCCTTTGGCTAAAATTATCTGATGAAACATAATTTTTGTTACCGCAGTATATGTTTTTGGTTATACCACGATTGCCCGAATGCCAATTTCCCGAACTGAACATTTTACCGAAAAAGTACAATTTCTCGAATGTCAACTTCCCGAAATCCAATTTCCCGAATTGCATGAAATATACATTTTTTCGAACATCCAATTTCACGAATTCTAACATCCCGAATACCCAATATCCCAAATCCTAATATCCCGATGTCCTTATTTTCAAATCATCCTTCTTAAATTAATAATTAATAAAATATAATTACCTTCCACCATTGTAGTGGATCTACAGTTTCTGAAAACATTTGTACATTGCGAATTTCATTCAAAGTATCAAAATTTGGTCAATTCGGAAAAATGTCCAATCGGGATATGGGAATTTGGGAATATAGACATTCGGGATATTGGGATTCAGGAAATTGGGTGTTCAGGATGTTAGAATTCGGGATTCAGAAAATTAGATTCAGGAAAATATTTATTCAAGAAATCAGAATTAGGGAAATAGTCATTCGGAAAATTGGACTTTTCGGTAAAATGTCCAA